GAATCGTACAGTGTATGGGCACCTTTAGTTGCCGAAGGCAGCCGAGTGAATAACTGACCCAAAGTGAAGGGAGCCGAATGCTGTTCAGCTATTCACTTCAGCCGAGTATGGTTGATTGCAGCCGTACATCAGCTGGCTTTGGCTCCCTTCTGTTCAGCCGAACAGCCTCAGCACATTCGGCTGAGCTGAAGAACATGTTCGCCTCAGCCGATCCAACATCTGGATTGGCTGAGGCGAGCGTACAGCAGTTTACTCTCCCCTGTTTGCCCCTATCCTCAGAGATAGCGAGCAGAATAAAAAAATGTAAACAAAGGCAAGAGGTCTTGCAATGGTTGTAAAGTGTATGGCCACCTTTAGTTACTAACCCCATAGACTTGCATAATTAAAGTGCACGTTTGCAGGTATAGAAAAATACCTATTGATCTGCCACAAATCTGCTAGGAAAGTTGTAAGGTTAATGTAATAATAATTTGATTATGGTGCAAGGTTTACTTTTAAAGTTTATGTTGGTATGAATTTGTAGACATGTGCACTGCCAAAAAATTTGTTTAGTTTCGTTTTAAATTCGGATATGTGTTATTTCGTTTTTCAGGATTCGGGTGTGAAAGTCAATTCGGATTCGGACGAAATTCGGTAGCGTTAGTACGAACGTTCGTTTCGTTTTCTGTTCTTATTCGTTTCTTATTCGTTTCTTATTCGTTTCGTTCGTTTGCAGCAAAAGTGACATTTGAGGGGGAAAACATATTTTTCTCCTTCTCTAATGTCACTTTGCTCCAACGAACGAAACGAATAAGAAACGAATAAGAAACGAATAAGAACAGAAAACGAAACGAACGTTCGTACTAACGCTACTGAATTTCGGAAATGGAAATTCGGATTCGTTTGCATTCGTTATGTCTGTAATTCGGAATTCGGATACATCCGAATGTCCGAATTTCCGAAAATTCGTCTGAATTTCTATTCGGAACGAAACTAATCGCACATGTCTATGAATTTGAGCGCTTTGTTGTGAATAATAAAAATGATACAACATTTGAAAAAAATCTATTGATCAAAATATCAAGCCCTGTTTTGTTAAAAGAGATTTATCAGTGATAGGTGGCCAGGATACTTCAATAAAAAAAAATACTGCACAATTCCTATACTTTACATATTTGTATTTCTGCTCAGTGCCTAAAACTGAATATTGATCTATAATTAGTAATAGTTGTTAGTTAACGAGTTAATAAAGCTTTCAGTATCAACAGAGTTTTATCTTAGAATTGTCTTTCTTTAAAGGGCTGAGGGAAAAATATTCACTTTAAAACATCCCCTATCTAAATTATTGGTCAGGTTGAGCATCAGACAGCAATCATTCTGTGATGAAATGTCTGTCAAAAATTCTGATTGCATTTGTAGGGCAAACTGACTTTCCAGTAATCTTTTTCATACTTCTGCTCAGCAGATAACGCTGGCATCAAGCCACCTTTCCAAAGAAATTATAAGTGCAGGTCACCGAAGGCAATGCAGGCATAACTATAAGTATTTTGTTTAATGTGTACTTAAAGCCATTGTTTTTTTTTTATTTGGATGGCATGGGTAAGGCTTAGAAACTCTGTAAAGTTTTTTTGTTGTTGTTTGTGTCCCTGTTGTGGAGATTCACGTCCTCTCTATTTGTCCTGGAAATCATTGTTACCATGATTGAAAGTGAGAGAAAATCTAAACTTAACTTGTCACTGGAAGAGGAATAAAGGAGAATTTTTACGTTGGGGACACTAGCTCTGGCAACAACTGTGTAAGCCAAATATTTCCTCACTTTGGAGAAGGCTCCTCTCGCTTCTTGTTGTTATTAAAATCGGCTTAAAGAAAAACTCAGGGCAGACATATTATTAACCCTTGCAGTGGGGCTACACTTGCACTGCAAGGGTTAGGTGATCATTTTCATCTCGAGTGTAAAATAAATAAATTATACTCATCTGAACCTAATGGGCGGCTGGCTGCTAGACCACTCCCTACAGCCTCTCACACCCTCTGTTTCAGCAGTCTAAGGTTCTGTGAGTCATCACATCCAATACAATGTATTAGATGTGAGGATGCTGAGGGACATTTCATTGCTGGAGTGGAGGAGGAGAGAGGCTGCAGGGACCGGTCTAGTGGCAAGCTGGCCTTAAGGCTCAGGTGAGTAAAACGTTTTTATTTTGCACACTAGATTAAAACACGCACTTAGTTCTTGGAATAGTAGCACCACTGCAAGGATTAAGAATATTTCTGCAGGAGTTCTTCCTTAATGGATATAGACAGCACAAAAAAACAAAAAAAAATAACTTGACATGGACCCTTTTATTGGTAAATTATGGCATTGGATGCCACTAAGACTTCATTTATTCCCATTACTGGAGAACCCCTCACCATGACTGAAACATCTGTAGATACAGCATTAGTAGTGAGACTCTGGTAAAATGAAGGCAGAGCCAGAGGTTGTTTCTTATGGGTCCCAGATACTTATAAGAAGCCAATTAGTGATTCAACCCTGCCAGAAGCCACGTATAACTGAGATATTTGGCAGAAGGTCCTTCGGTTTTGGGCAGACAATCATTTCGACTTCAAAGTTCCATACTGAGCAGTAGATTGAATAACCCTCACATTTATGGAGAAAGAAAGAAAATAAACAAAATGTCAAAGTTATTTAGTTTCCAAAAGTACAGTTCTTGTTTCTGCACCTTGTACACTATTATTATCCAAATATGTACTCACATTTGTTTTTCTTTTGTTTACTCCTCATTTTTGCTTCATAATGATGTTGATGCCAAAGAAGTTTTTGGCTTTTGGAAAGTTGAATTCAAACACCACTGATCACAGTTAGAACAGAAAATGCGTTTGTGCTCGGGTCAGATGCCGCTGGACGCTGAAATAAATAAAGCTCTAATTATCCAGTGGTTCATTAGTGTTTCTACAGTGCTGTCTGAATAGTTTCGGTGAACAATTACCTGATCTAGGTTAGTCACCAAAAAAAAAAACGTCAAACCTTCAAGGGGATAATCACCCATTAGTGTCAACAACTGTTTTTATAAGTTATGGAATAATAATAAATTCCAGGCAATTGTATTGAAAGATACACTTAAAATCCAGTGTTGTATTAATAACAATTCATAAGCAGATATATGGGTCCTAAATATGCATTAACATTAGCTTATCATATTTGCCCGCAGACCTTAAAGTGTACCTCCACTTTTGCAGCCAAGTTGGACCAACACCTATTTTATGTTTGTTATATGTTCCCATTGCACATAGCATAACTTAAAAAAGTGCTTTATACTTGTTTAAAATGCTACCTAGCCACACCCCTAGGTAATGTTAGGGAGGGGGTTGTGCAAAGTTATGCTTACTCTTATTATCCCTGCCTGTACTGTCCTGGCAGATCTCATTACCAGTCTCAAGCCACTCAGAGTAGCTTGCATTTTGTACAAAGGCTTTTACCAAAACAAAAAACAAAAACAGCTAAAAGATAAGAAATATATTTAAAAATATATATTTTTAGGTATGTTGCGTGAATGGACACAAATAACAAACCTATAGAGGCAGGGGCATCCCTACGGCATTGGGAGGGGGTTGTTGGTGGTGCACGCTATAAGGGGGGGCTGGAGGCAAGGAGTGTGGCCTCTACATTATCTGGCAACCAGTGACATCAGTGGTTGCCAGGAGCTGAGCGGGCCATGGGCCAGAGTGTCAAATCCAGCTCCTGGAAACAATTAATGCCACTGGTTGCCAGGCGCAGAGTGAGACACCTGCCAGAGTGTCCCAGGTTGCTAAGAGCTGGGTGGGGAGATGTATATGGCTCTTAGCTTAGCTCTCCACCTGGCTGTTAGCAGCCTGGGATGCTCTGGCTAAAAAGGGCGCGGCAGGCAAGTGCTGCTCAGCCTGCTGCCCCCCACGTGACCCAATGAGATGCCACCCACTGTTAGAGCCTACATTACGCAGTTTTTCTATTCCAACTTCGTGAGCTTATTGGCAGAAGAAGAAAGTGATTGACAGTGATTGACTCTTCTCTTAAGGGTCACGGGAGGACATATACTAACATCCTCCCGTGACCCAAAGCTTAGTATATAGCGAGAGTGCCGCAGCCGGAACGGATCCCAACAATACTGTCGAGATCCACCCAGCTGGCTGGCTGCCTTTCTAGAGGCAGAGCCAGCAGTGTCCGCCCCCTCCCCCGTTCATTCCTCCACTCAGCTCTGGAGAATTGGAGAGGGGAGGGGGGAATCCCTGCAGGGAGATGAACGGGAAGTGAGCGAGTGACGGTATGTGTTCGCTCACTTTCCGATCAATGGAGCCGACGTGTGACAGATTCACTGCCGTGGATAAATATATGACTCACTAGATGTCACAGAGCTAATACTTGGGGATTGGTCCAGAATTGTCCTATAGGGATGGATTGGAGCATCAGCTCTGTGTAAGCTCTGACTGCAGGAGAGAAGGAAAGGTTAGTACGTGCTCCTAGGAATAGGGATATTAACATTAATTCTATTTAAGTAAAAAAAAGGCATGCAAGCATTACAGAAAAAGGGTATTGCAATTTTATCCTAAACAAGACCTGTGGTTACATTGGGAATATTCTGTTTGCTTTAAACCTCTGTAGTGGTTTCCACCTCCTGCCAGTCCTAGCTTTTACAAAGGACTAGGAAGTGCTGTTACAGATTACACCTGCACTACCAGCTCCTGTAAATCAACTTATCTGAAGAGCCAGTGCTATTGTTTACAAAAGGCCTAAAGGAGTTTATATTCAAACTGTAAATTCTCTCCAACTCTCTAAATTTTTTGAACATAGGCTGTATTCTCTGAACATGTTTCCAGCGGTGTGAGAATGATTTACTTGGTTATCTGTTAATTTTTTTTTATATACTCTATATGAATGTACATAAGAGCACATTTATGTTTTTATGTTCCAGATACTGGAAGCACTCAGAAACTAAGTCTGCCTTGGTCTACCCCCTGCACACAGTATAATGACAATGCATTATATAAACTTCAGAAGTTCATAATGACAACCAACAATAAATACGATGTTGGACAGATGTTAACCGATATCCATTTAGAAATTTATCATCCGCTTTTTCAGACATCAGACTACAGCACAATTTCAGACTGTACACAGCTAAATAATGAAAGGCTTCAAGCAATGGGAATATCTCTCACCGGGCATCGGAAAAGGATTCTTACAAAGCTACAGGAGTTACTGGGGAAGGTGCATTCAACTCCTGAGGATATCACTGTTGATACAGCAAAGACAAGTAACGACAGGTCATTAGAACATGACAAGAAGTTGGCGCTATTTGGACAGGGCTTAGCCAGTGTTCTGGAAACTGCCCTGACTGATGATTCTAGCAAAAACTGCACACATTCTTTAACTGATTGTCTGACAATGGATGAAAGTGTTTCTGCTCAGTCTAAACATAAGGACCAGGACATGTTTTCTGAACACTCTGAAATATCTGGATATGACACAGCGCTAGATTTCAGGGAAAGAACAGACTTGGAGAGCTCTAGTTTTTTTGAGTTTCAAGGACCAATGGTTGAGAATGACTTATATGGAACAAGGAGTGAGGAAAAAGTACAAAAAACGCAAGCAAAGAAAGTTCCATCTCGATCGTTCATATTAAGAAACAGACCTGTTCCAGATTTACCGGTTTCTGTCAGTAATACATCCTACAGCAGGTAAGTGCAGCAGGTTGGTCACCAAAACTGACATTTAATGTATGCCTTAGGCCTCATTTACATGGAGCATGTTGTCCCATACAGCATAAAGGGACATTGTTTGTCATGCCCCATGTGGAAAGGAGCTGGCAGCTCATTTAACTCTATGAAGACGCAGGAGCTGTGCACCCTCACATGCTACTCCCTGTAGCTCCATGTTTTCATAGCTGCACACAGACAGAGTATGGCCTTGGACACATACATTATGGATCTAGGTCCATACACAGTCTGTGCGGCTGTAAAATCTCAGAGCAGCGGGAAGCATAATGTGAGGGCGCAGAACTCCTGCATCTTCAAAGAGTTGATTGAGCTAGGCTGGGCAACACACCCCATGGCCTTAGAGCGCATTCAGCCAGATTGCTGCATAGTCAATGCAGTCCATGGTCCATATTTAATTAAATTATTAAATAGTAATGTACCAATGCTTTTCAATGGGAATTTTTTTTTTCTAATCTGACATTGCTCGTGTCAGAATCAAGAAAAAAACAGACACAGCAGTGTTTCTCTCCTTGGCGGCCCGGGAGCGGTAGACTCTCGGGGCGCCAGGGAGAGTTAGCTGTTTGGAGATCAGTGTCCCTGGTTAGCAGGTAACCAGGGACGCTGATCTCTCTGCAAGTGGCCGGAACCAGCCGTAAGATCACGGCTGGCTCCACCCAGCTGTCAGAAGCAGGCTGTCGGCCGACCAATGGCCGGCCGCTCGGCCAGCTTCGGCTTTCAGCACGGCTCAGCTGAGCCGATGCATATGCGTGCGGCTCGACTGAGCCGCTCGCCCATGTTCGGGAGCTGTACGGGCTATTGTGAATAGCCCGTACAGCACCCCTTCGGTTCTACTGGGGCCGAAGCTAGCCGAAGGAACGGCCGAAGCTACGGCCAAATCCTTCGGCAGCTTCGTGAATAGACCCCACTGACTTACCTCCTTGTTCTGCACTGTGTCTCTGTGTGAACTGGTAAGACAGCAGCGCATTGGAATCTCACACTGCCGTTATATAGCTATGAGACTATAGGCACAGTAAGTGCACGGCAATTTTTCAGTAAAAATTCAAGACAGCAAGGTTCAGTGTATTGCTTAGGCACAATTAAAGTAGAACTAAGGCCAACAACTCTTTTTTTTGGAAAGAGTAAGGGAGGATTATAACCCCTGTCAACTTTTTTGTCATCTGTGTCCTGGTGGGGAGATTTCCTTTCACTTCTTGTCCTATAGCAACCGGAGGAGAGATGGAATCTCTCCAAAGTGAGTGCAATTCCAGGTTCCTTCATTGGAAGATTCCCCATTTATTCCTGTTCAGATGACATCCTAAATTCAGAATTTTCTTTTACTTTCAATATCAGTGACAACAGTCATCAGGGCAAATAGAGGAGGTGAATCTTCCTAACACACACGAAGACAGCAATAAAAACCTAACAGAGGTTCTAATCCCTCTTCACTCTATCCAAACCTAAAAAAGTTGCACTTTAACATTTCAAAATAGCAAATGTACACTTTTTGAGCTCTGGTTCACTTTAAATATGACATTATGTTACAGTATGATGTTTTTATTAAACAGCCTGAATGCTGTATTTTGTTTTTTAGACATTCTGGGGAAATTATGACATCTACCAATCCCATAGGAGATTTTACCATCAACTTAGAAAACAGTAAGTCATTCTTTCACAGCAACTTGAATAAATGCATCTATATGCTAAACTAATGTGCGGACAGAGTGAATTGTAGCTTAGAATTACAGTGAGACACCTGTCACCAGGTCTAGTAATTGCCTGCACTGTATTCTCATAGCAATACAATGGATAGGGTCGGGACAATGCGCTGTTGAAGTGTGCTACTTCTTCATTTGGGAAGTGTCAAATCGCATATTGGGAATGATCTACAAAAGAATATAAGTTATACACCTGCTCAGCAAACATGCAATCAATATGCACTGACAGATTTTTTTATTTTTTTGCAAGTGCAGATTTATATATGAAATACAATCAGGCAACATTACTTGTCCTGCATATTTATAATATTAAATATGTTTCTTCTATCAGCATTAGTATGAATGAAATATTAATGATGCAACTGCTCAGTAGTTTTGCACAGATTATCATTATTAATTTTACTCAGGATTATAAAATAAAAAATAAGAATAATTCTAAGTTTTTAGGCTAGATAAATAGGAAATATTGCATATGACTACTATGTATTTATTTATTTTCATCACCAGAGGGTAGAGCTCTGGACCTCCTATATTTCAATATCTTCTTACCGCCTATAGTAAAAGTGCTGTTGGTTACAGAGCTAAATAGCAAAAATTTACAAACACGTGACAAGTTTTACAAACATGTATGTAACATGTATTATATATTTATATCTCTAGCTACTCAAATCTTGTCAATGTCCTCTTATTGTTATGCCCTGAACCTCATCATTCACACTAGGTCAGCATTTTGACCTCCTCAAGTTGCTGCTGCTCCTTTATTTTCTAATTGCAGCTTACGGACAGTTTGGCAACCAAGCTAATTTGCTTAAAGAGGAACGCCAGGAATCTAAAATTACAACCCTTGCAGTGGGGCCACCCCCTCACTACAAGGGTTAACTGCTTGTTTTGGTCTAAAGCAGGGGTGGGCAAACTCAGGCCCTCCAGCTGTGGTGGAACTACAAATCCCATGAATTGCAAGATTTTTACAGCCACAGGGATGGCTCTCAGAGACAGATGCATGGTGGGATTTCGAGTTTCACCACAGCTGGAGGGCTGGAGTTTGCCCACCCCGGTATTGGAGCTCAGAAAATATGCTCGTCTGATCCTCAATCCCACCTGGCTGGTAGACCAGTCCCTGCAGCCTCCTATCGCCCGGGTTCCAGCAGTGTAAGCCCCGCTGAGATCATCGTGCCTAATGCAGTTCACTCACCTGTATTAGATGGGAGGACGCCGAGGGACATACCACACCTGGAGCGGAGAGGGAGAGAGGTTAACACTCACTGCGACAAGACCAAGGATAAGGTCATTATATAATCTGTATTCTGGCCCCTAGAGAAAAATGAGTAGTTAACCCATGCAGTGTGGTGGTAGGCCCACTGATGGTTAACGTTTTTAAAAACTGGAGTTCTTTAAAGCCCAGTTGAGCCCTCCTTATTTATTACTGTAATGCATATGCATATATATATATATATACACATTTAGCTGTTTGCATGTAGTTCCAATTTAAATTTCACATTGCTATGCTTATAGAAATTACTGTGTAATAAATAAGCATCCCTATCATATTGGCTAGTGGTGCTGACTTGAAATACTAGTGCTACTGGAGGAATTAACTCTCAATAGGGTCAGCTCTATGTGGAAATATGCTGTTTATTCATGTAGTGCTGTCTTAGGAATTCTGTTTTTCTCTAGTAATAAAAAATAATACTGGCAGATAAAGTGACTTAGAATTAAAACTGGCACTAACGTTTGTGTGACTGTAATAAAACATTAGAATATTAGATGTATTGGTAAAGAAGCTGATGTCAATGATTTATTCTATGACCCTGTGCAGACTATATAATTATTATATCAATGAAAATAATAGCTATATATTTTTTTATACAGAAAGAAAGCATTATAACATAATTTGGCATACTGGTCTTAACTATTGAACCATGGGTGTGATCTTCATTCAGCGATAAGGATGTGTATGAAGGATTAGACTATAAGAAAAGCGTACTGCACTACTCTAAAGAGACCATGAGAGGTCCCAATAGACAGCGATGATAAAACTCTTAGCACAAAAATTCACATAATGCAAAAAAAAGCATCTAGCTATCCATAAATAAAAGATAATCTATTATCAAAAATGTGACATTACTGCATATAATGCCTAAAACTCTCAAGGCATTAGATATAGTAAAGCAATATTTAAACATGAAGCTTGCATGTAATATAACCCTCATTCAGTAATGGGGAAGTGTATGATGGATTGTACTGTAAAAAGTAAATGCTGCATTGCTCTTAGGAGACCACAAGAGGTCCTGAAAGACAGCAAGAATAAAATACAACTCAGCATGAAAAACACCCACAATACTCGAAAATAGCTACACATGAACAGTAGATGCAATATAATTAAACATGTAACCATTATATCACTACAATTAATAGAAAGTTTAAAGAAGCACACCTGTTTGCAATATACATTGTGGACTGTATAGTTTTCATAAGATCTAATAAACCAGAAAGGAATCTGGCTGAGCGTACCTTATGTCAAAGCTTTTGCCTGCTCCATAGCACATTCAGTATGCAAATGGAGATTTATTGAAGTCAGAGCGGTAAATCTGTCTTTCCCCCAGCATTTGATATAATAATGTATGTGTTTTGTTGAACTATAGATAGGCGAATATAGGAAGGCCTGAAGCAAAAAAAAATGTATAGGGGAGACAAGTTACAAAAGGGTTAACGAGTGTTCGATCTTGGGACAAGGTCACTTAAATGACTGGCCAGGTCAAAAGGTTAGGTGGAGCTTAAACGGTGGTCTGAGTAGGAGGGTCTTCTCTTCAGCAGTTGGAGATTGTCTGACTCTGACGAGGAGTGAACTTCTCTCCCACACGCCCTTTTTTTGTTGTTAGGCTACGGGTATTTATGCGGTTGGGGTCTTTGGAGGCCGTCAAATAATAGGTGCTGGTGGTTAATGTTTGGGGACATGTCTTGGTATGGGTCCTCTATTCATGGTGTGTAAGCTGGTGAACACTAAATTGGATATTTGGAGTGTCTGCGGTCAGTTGGTGGTTGTCCCAGAGGCAGTGTGTTGCGGCTGGGGGCATAACATGTTGTAGTACTGCCGCAGAGAACGTATCAAGAAAAGGTGTGGCCTTCAAAGACATGCAACTTTGTTTATGTAATTCTGACTGATGTTGACATTGTTTATATAGTTATGTTTTATATTAAATTATTTAATGAAAGGCTGCTAAGGCTATTTAATGCCATTTTGGAGTGTGGTCTGTTTATTCTATACAGGGATGGGCAGTGGGTGGTCTTGGTGGCTCGTATGTGGGGAAAAAGATTGGGGACATCTATGCTACCTTAGTCATGTGTTCTCATATATATACACAGTATATACTGTGTATACATTTGCAATTTTTTGTTTATTTTTTGCACTACTTATCAATCAAAGCACAATATATGATGTTCAAAAGTAGCCAACCTTGACAAGATTTAGGGACCATTGACAACGGTGCGAAGAGTTAACCTCATGGTTCCACATGATTAACAGATTGTACTGCACAACGCACCTTCCATGTGTTAACCACCCCTGCAATGTGATTGGTTGCACTGCAATGCGCAGTACTGCGGTACCATGCATTGCAATATGGTGCATTTTAAAAAAAAATAGTGCAAGTAGGGATTTTGTGTAGAACATAACTGCTGAGGATGTGTATAGGAGGAAGAGTGAGGGTGGTAGGTGGAATTTAAGGCTCAGCAATAGCGTGTGTTTATCTGTATCCAGCTCTGAATGAAAGCATCCCACATTCCCTTTGAGGAATGTTGGTTGTTAAAAAAGGACATTTGTTTTTTTATGAGCTTTATTGGTATGTGATGGTCTATATGACTCTTAGAACTTCCCAGGCTGCCACCTTGCTTGTAAAGTGACTGGTAGGATTCTGAGATCTTTCTCTCTTGAAACAGTAAAAGTCAGCTCTCCTGGTTCAATTCATCTTCAACATTAGTGGCTTATAAAACCGTACATACATTCCTTAAAGTGACACTAAACTTGGGAGGTAAACTATAAAAATGCATTCAATTACCTTAACTATTAACAAAAATTTATCTTATTTGTGTATTACTCAACTCTAGATCCTCAGCAGCATGGCCGAACGCGAATAGAGCCGCTCGGGCTAGGATCTGACAGCCGCTGGCTCTGTCTCTACTCAATGCTCAGCCATCCTGAAATGACAGCTCCCTCCTCCACCCCCCACCGTCTTCAGCGCTCCATTTCTCCTCAGATCCCCGCTGCCTCGGCCCATACAGGCAGGGGAGAGCAGCGGGGATCTGATGAGAAACTGCAGGCTGTGCTGCCCAACTTTGCGTTGCCGAGAGGCTCAGGATGGAGAGCGGAGGATTGGTAAACATCTGTTATATTTCTCGATCTTCTGTGTGCAGCAAAAACACTGGCGTGATCAGCTGATCACTTCAGTGTGTGTAAATAACTGGGGACACATAGTACTATGGGGAATATGGGAGATATCAGGGGTCTGTTTAGACCCCTGATATTTCCTTAAAGCTCCCCAACAGTAAAATAATAAAAAAAACATAACACCACCTCCCCACACACACAGAATATTAGACATGTGCAAAAACTAAAAATTAGTTTGGGAAAATGAACGAAAATTAAACAAATATTGATGCTACTTCGGATTTGGCCACCGTCTTGTTTTGCACATGCGCGCTACCATCCTGGAGGCGGGGCATATGACGTCAGATGATGCAGCATGTACGCAGCTTCGGGTGACGTCACACGCCTGTTAGGGGGGCACAATTTTCTGTTCTTGCCTCGGGCGCAAAAGGAGTTAGCTATGGCTCTGCACACAGGGACCATGGGGAACAAAAGTAGCCACCCACAGAAGGAGAGACAGTGTCAGCACCAATTCAGAGATGATTTGAGAATCTACAGCTGAGTGATACACAAATAAGATACATTTTTGTAAATAGTTAAGGTACGTTAATGCATTTAAAAAAAAGATTTAACTGGGTTTAGTGTCACTTTTAGGAATTTATGTACAATATACAGGTTTTTTTAGATTTGTGAGGTGGCTGGATTTAGACAGCAAGCATTGAGGCAGCCATTGCAGAAAAGGAATTGTGTTTTTGAAAAGCTTTATTAACAACCCAGCCAGGAACAGGCAGAACACTTATGATACATTGAATTGCCATGTGCCCTTCCATAGTGGAACAGCTCTCTCTGGCCCTGTAAATTACTGTATTCATTTAAGGATATTTTATGCTGCTGCCAATTTGTTAAAGTAAGCCAGATGAGCTATGATGGAAATAAGAGGTTGGCATTGTAAATGCTGATTGCTTAGTTGTTATGTTGAGCTTCTAGATTCAATTCTCACTGGGAGGAAACAAATATGAATTTTCAAGTCAGGGAAAAGTCAGACATCTATGTATGCAGCCTATATATAGAACAGGCCCTGTGCATTAAAAGTCATAGTTCAGTCCACTTTCTTTATGCCTCACAATTTTCTGAAATGGTAGAGGCACATTTTATAGCAGTAGTGGTCACCTTTCTTAAAAAGGGGGCATGTTGGGGAAGCGCAGCATCACTCTTCCATTCTCTACTATTTCCTTTCTTTCCCTGTGTGTTGGCTACTTGGTGGTCTTCCCCTCCCTTTTGGTCCCCTCCCCTGGCATTTGACAATTGGTTTGTTTGAGAATTGATCATGTTGTATTTATTTTTTGCTTTTGTAATTTTTTGTTTATCGTTTCACGGTCCTCTGTTTGGTGCCTGTTACCATTACTGGCCATGTCCTGAGCCAGTCTTGTGTGGTCTTTCTTCTTTTTTTTTTAAGCAAATGTTGAGCACCACATGTTTTCTGTGTTTATTGTGTTTTGAAAACTTTGAAAACTTATAAAACATATAAAACAAATAAAGGACATAAGTTGTAGCCCCTGATATCACCAAAAAGCCTCACATAAGATTCAGTAATGCTACAGAAAGCTGTGAGAGACTGTAGGCATGCAGCAAGAGTTGGTCAGAGAATGGGGGCATGCTTCAGGAGACACGAGAAAGGTTTCATGAGACTGCTAGAGCCTAGAGATCATCACAGCTATTACCACCCCTTTATAAATCCACGATCCTACATTTGTGCTCCCTATAGTCACCTTACCATAATTTGTGCCGCATCTGATATGTCCCTCAGAAAGATTCATTATAAAAGATCAGATGGAATACAATCATAGAAACCGTAAAATGGATGAACAGGCACAGAACATTGAATACAGTGTAAAAGAAATAAGACAAAACATTTAAAATGGGCCTTCACCCTCCCTACCTAGTTTCTCTCATTGCCTTCCTACCTGCTTCTCTCTCATAATTGGACATTATTTATTTTTTCTCCAAATATCTTTTGTTTTTGGGTGCATTTGCGGCATCAGGGGGCTGGCTGCAACAACCCAGAAGAGTCAGCCAGTACCCTAATTATATAAAAAATATGTCAGTAAAGAAGTAAAGAAAATGGTAGTGTGGGACTTGGCATTCAGCGGCGCATTGTTGACTTACTGCAGGACAATGCTGGATTCATGGGATGTGTGAGAATGTAATTTCAGGATAACCCTGTAAACAAGGTAAGTAGCAATTAAGAAAAAAATAACACAGGGATGGTAGGGTGTTGGAGGTGGGTGAATATAAGAACATACAAATGTATTTTTTATAGTTGTACTATCCATAGCAGCCAAAAAAACTTTGGAGGTATTCACAAAAGGAAAACAAATATCTGGTGACCATGAGCAACATTATTTTCTTATAACGTCCATGAATGTGAACTGTCCTTGGAGAGGATGGCTAACATGTGCTGGGAAAACACTCACTTGTATATGGTACTCTCTTCCTGGATAAGCGATGTGTTACTTGATCTCTTTGGTGGAAATGCTGCAAAACATAAGTTGCCGGCGAGAGAGTGTTGTCTCGTTCATCCAGCCATGGAGGACATAACACATAGATGCAGGTGAATGTTTCACTGTCCTACTGTGTCCTGCATAGCAATCCTGCTGCTGGTGAGTTTGCACCAGCACCAAAATTGCTAGTGTGACAGGAGCCTAATGGTGTTTAAAAAAAAATAGCAATAATTTACTAGGTACGCTCTAAATGCTAGAGTAATATATACAGTTGTGTAGATAAGTCAAATGTATTTTATAAATATCTAAACATCAAGGTTTCAAAGAGACGGCTGTGTATGAAATATTAAGATATGGAATTGGGTGCAAAGACGACAGTCCCAGCACAAAATATGAGATGAGAGCTGTTTTCTTTGTTGTTGTTTTTTTGCAAATGCATACTGTGTACTTAAAATTCCATCCAGGTTTTGTGTTTGATGTTTAAGGTGAAAGGCATATTCCACTTTTGGAACCATGCTTCATGTTAAACCCATATACACCCACATTTAGGATTCAACATTCCCCAGCCCCTCACCCTCAAACCATTCACCCACTTACCTGAATGCTTCTTCCTGGAGCGTCCTCTTTTCACAGATCCATTCAAAGGGATCTGTGAATGGGAAGACTTCAGGTCCCATTTCCTGCCGCAGCAGAGGGACTGACAGATCACGCCAGCACAAGTGCAATGACATCACCACACGTGTAATCTTTTGTTTGTAATTGTTTACTTGCTCCAAACACTGCTATGTGTGAATTCTATTCTGAATTTGATTATTTGTTTATTTAATTATTGTAGAGCAATCTGGTGATGAAAATAGTAATCCAATCTCACCATATGAAGAGACATTCTTTTTCAGCAATTCAGAGAGTACCAAGGTATGTTATATCTTATATGTCAGCGCAAATGAGGTGCTAGAATATGTGAGAATAGCATCAAACACAATCTCTTCTCTGCCATGAAAGTATAATTGAATGTCACATTGCAAGTAACAACTTTGTAACAAGTTTTATTAATGTATACAATTAAAGTTTATTTGAATTTTGCTTTTTAAAGTGCCAGTAAAT